AATCTCTTCCTATGTGAAATTTGTTGTTTCTTAAGCTATAGTCAAAAGCCTAGATCATATTACTTTCTTTTCCTAGCAAAGGCATGTATGTTTAACTTTCATTTTACATAGCGATTTGACTGCATCTTATAAATCTTAAAATGCTGTGACCCCATTGCCACATGTTTATAATATGGATTTAAAATTTTGATTTTCTTTTTTAATTGATAGGGCCAAACTGTTTAGTTTTATTTATTATCTTAAAATAAGTTTTATGTATAAACTATGTAACATTGTTAAAAGGCAGATAGATGATAGATAGATAGATAGATAGATAGATAGATAGATATGCTTACTATAGCTAGGTGTTGTGGCACATGACTGTAATCCGAACACTCTGGAGGCAGAGGCAGGTCTATCTCTATGAGATTGAGGCCAGCCTGGTCTACATAACGAGTTCCAGTCCAGCTGGCGCTATAGGGAGACTCTGTCTCAGTACACCACCACCACCAAAACTTAAAAAAGAGAAATGCTTACTATAGTGGAGTACAGTACTATATATATCTTGTCATATAGTTACTGATTTTTGTTATTGTTGTAGCAAGAGAACCTATAATCTATTCATTTAGCCAGACTATCAAGTAGGATATGATTTTTTTGGCAATAGTCTTAATTTCTAATCTTGTATCTTCTTTAAAAATGGGACAAAATGTTTCCATTGTTTTAGTCTTGGGATATTTTTTGTGACTTAATACATGGTCATTTAAAAATGAATATTAAGTATGTACTTGTAAAGAATGTAAACATAATAATTTGTATAGTAGATTAAGTTGTTAATTCTGATAGTCAAGCCTAGAGACTCTTGACTTACTGGTCACTTAGTTGTTCTGTTGATTACTGAGCAATGTTTGTCTGTCTTCTGTTATAACAGGTTTGACAGTCTCTCAATTTTATTACTACCAACAATTGTTTCACATATCTCAAAGGCATTTTATTAGGCTTTTATCAACTTATGATTATTAAAATACCTGGTAGATTTTAACACTCAGTTTTTGAAATAGAATTGCAATCAATTTCTTGTTTTATGAATTCTATCTTGCCTTCCATCAATACTACTGTAATGCAGTCTTAAAAATGATTTTTGGGTGGGAGCTGTGGAGGTGGCTTAAAGGATAAAGTGCTTGCTACTTAAGTGTGAGGACCAAGTTCTTATCCTAAGAAACTACATAAAGCTGGATGAGGTAGTGCACTTCTGTAATCCCTGCACACTTACAGGTGAAATGAGAGGCAGTGTCAGGAGGATCCCCAGTTCACTGGCCAGTTAGCCTGGCTTACACAGTGGTTACTGACAAGGGATCCTGCCTCAAATACAGTGGAAGGTGAGGATTCACACCTGAAGTTGTCCTCTAATCTTTATGTGTGCACTGTGGCACATGTGCCCACACTCATAAATGAATGCTCACATGCATTGACATGCCAGTGCACATATACACTCTATACCTACATGTCATAGACATATAAAAAATAAATGTTTGGGTAGAGTCCCCCCGTACTCCTTTATTTTCAGATATACTCTTTTATTTTGGTTTTTGCCTCTTCTTAATAGTATATTGTTGCCCAACCCCCACCCCGAGATCTGCAAACTTTTACTAGCCAGAGGTGGTTCATTTATGTTTATTTTAATCTTTGATATGGTTGGGCTTAATTTTCTTCTTCTTTGATGATGCTTTCCTTAGAATGTTTTCTTTTGAGGATTTTCTAACTCTTTGCCCTCTTATTTCTTGCATTTTTTCCCATTTAATTTTCCCATGTTTGAGATTTGTACATCTTACAAAAATGCAGCGATTGATTACCTTTTGGGAAGTAAGACACACAATAACTTTTGTGCCTTTGGATTTACTCAGTATCTACAATCTATTGTAATTAATCCCAGAAGTCTCAGCAGGCCCTTCTCTTTTCCTTGCCTTCTTGTACTTCTCCCACCAATCCTGATCCAGCCAAGCCTTATGTTGGGCTTATATGGCATTTAATGAGTCGATTTCTTTTTTTAGGTGATAAAGTTGTAGTGTATCCATGTCTCACTTGGGGTACTTACTAGTACTAGTGGTACAAAATAAGTTCCTCTTAATTTTAAAAATACTGCTTCTCATTTTGCTGCCATTGTTAGCTGTTAATGACTGTTCTGTGTAGATGCAGTCTCTATTTGAAGCCTTGGTGAGAATTTTTTAAAACCTGAGCTTATTGCTGTGTTTTTTCCTTCTCAACAGTCAGTAAATATTTTATTATATTGATTAAATATTGAACTTAAGTAATAAGTTCAAAGTTATTCTTTTCTTTGTACTGTTAACTCTGCTTTCAGAGTTTTGGTTCCTCTGCCCATTAAATTTCCTTTGATGGTGTTGACTCTGGAGTTGACTTGTCCTTATGTTTGTATTTGATCCTCTCCACCACTGTATTCTATTTCTGTCACTTGTTTCTGTTGGTTGTATCAGAAAGCCGTGATTGTAATTTGGGCAATAATTGCATTTACTGATGGCTAAGGATCTTGAGCATCAAAAAAAAAAAAATATTTATTGGCCATTTGTGTGTCTATATTGCCTTTCCTCTAGATGTTCACCAGTTGAGCTTTTGCTCTGTCCTGCTAGCCCAAAGACCACATCCACAACTTGTTTTGGTGAAAAATAAATCCCCCTTTACCCTTCTTAGGAAGACATAGTGTACTCACCGTGTTGGTCAAGCTTATGTGTACTTAAAGGGTCCTGCTACACTTACCTAATAATTTTCTTTTAGTTTGGGGGTCTTTTCTCTGAAATTTTGCTCCTAATTACTTTCTATCATTTAGGATTCCTCAAAATTTCTGAATAGATGTAGGTGATTTTAAAATTTTCTTTTCCTGATTCTGATTTATTAGTTTTGGAAAGTATATTTTCAATCATTCTAGCATTTGGGATAGAAAGGAGGAGAGAGAATATGTTATTTATTAGTTATTATTATATGTGTGTGCGTGTAGTGCCTGCATGTAGGTAAGTGCACCCGTGTCATGCACTGCCCATCGAGAACGGAAGAGGCTGTCGGATCCCCTGGAACTGGAGTTACGGACAGTTGTTAGCTGTCATATGGGTGCTGGGATTTGAACCCGGGTCTTCTGCAAGAACAGCCAGTGTTCTTAACCGCTGAGCCATCTCTCCAGCCCCGATACTATTATTATTTTTAATTTTAATTTAATTTTTATAGTTGGCATACAGAGTAATGAATTTTATTGTGGCATTTTCACTCGTATATGCCATTGTGCTTTTGCTCAGTCAGCCTCTCTTCAGTCTCCCCTATGATCTCATTGGTCTGCTTTCTCTGTTACATAACCCCCCTTCTACCCTGAGGTTGTGTGTGCATGCATGCATGCTGTGTGTGATAACTAATTCTAGATTCTTCATATGAGAGAAACATGATGCTGTCTTTTCTTCTCACCTCCATTACTCTCTTGTCCCTCCGTTTAGATACCTTCCTCCTCCCTCATATGCCTTCTGCTTTCATGTCATCTGTATATGTGTCATATATGTGTGCGTGCCCTAGATACATTTGTGTGTGTATGTGTTTGTGTGTTCCATATGTGAAATAAAACATGGTATATATCTTTCTAAGTCTGGTTTATGTTGGTTAACATGATAGTCTCCCTTTCTATCCATTTCTTGCAGATGTCATGATTTCATGCTTCTTTATGGCTGCATAAAATTCCATTGTGTCTATGTAGCATATTAAATTCATCTGTTGATGGTGGTCTAGGCAGGTTCCATATCTTGGCTTTAGAGAGAACTTCCATTCTGACTTCTATAGTGGCCTCACTAGGTTACAGTCCTGCCAGTAGTCTCTAACGTTTCTCTTTGTGTACATCCTTGCCAGCAGTTTGGGTCATGCTTTTCTTGATGTTAGCTATTCTGAGTAGAGTCAAGAATGGCATGTCATTATAATTTTAATTCACATTTTCCTGATGACTAAGGATGTTAAATGTTTTCTTCAACTATTTGTTCACCATTTGTATTTCTACTTTTGAGAATAGTTTTATTTATCCATTTATTTAATTAGATGATTTTTTTAATGTTTACTCTTTTGAGACCTTCATATATTTGATTTTAATTTCTTACCAGATAATATACTTGACAAAGACTTTCTCTCATTCTCCAAACTCTCTCTTCATTCTAGTGATTGTTTCCTTTGAAGTGCAGAAACTCTTTAATTTGATGAAATCTCACCTGTCAATTCTTGGTATTATTTTCTGACTTATTAGCATCCCAGAAGGATATATGATTAGTTATCACTGGATGATATATCTTTGATTATCCATTTGTACTATTGCTAAAGATATTGGAGGAGTTTTTCTTTGACTGGATATTGCAGTCATGATTTGCTATAGGAATAAGATAGTAATTTCAGCTTTGTCAGTTACATAATTTCTATTGCACCTACATTTTTGTTGTAATTTGAGAGGCATAGACAAAATGACCATCCTAATAAAATTTTATGGATACTAAAATTTGATTTGTATAATTTTCATGTGTCATGAAATTTTCTTCTTATTTTGTTCCTTCCCTCACCATTAAAAGAAAGTAAAAATTATTATGTGTGTATAAGATAAGATGTGGTGGGCTACGTTTGATCTGAAAAATCACAGTTTGTTTACTGGTCTCTGATGTAGAAGATTATGTCATAGTCTGGAAAATGTTGGTAACATATTGAACAAAAAAACCACAAATCACAAAATAGTATGTGCAGTGTGACCACATGTATGTGAAGCAGCAATTAGCAACAAGGCAGCCCTGGGTGATGCTAGATGAGAATCTTTACAGTGGTCCCTTGATTAGAGTACAGTAAATTCTACATGTATACATTTGTGTGTTTTGAATTTGTACTATGACTCTTCAGTGTTGTTTAAAAATATTCTTATATCAGAAAAAAGTTACTTAACAAGTGACAGAGAATTTGTACATTGATACAATCAGTTTGGTTTTCCTCTCTTTCACTTGTAGCCAACAAGTCCCAAATTTGGAAAAGCTGACTCATATGAAAAACTGGAAAAACTGGGGGAAGGATCGTATGCTACAGTATACAAAGGGAAAAGCAAGTAAGTATTTAAAAAATGTTTCATATGCACAGCGTATCTGTTTTCCTAATAGTAAATAACAGTATATTTAAATACATTTCACTTCACTTCATATATAATCCATTTTCTGCTGTTAATTTCTTTTTCCCGTTAGGTTATGTCAAGTCTTAAAAGCCAGTGGAAGTGGTTTTCTCTGACAGCAAGCAGCTTGGTAGACTTCTCTAGTCTACCTTTTCTGTGTCATACTCCACTGTAGCTGTGCTTTCTTTTTCTCGGTGGAGCTGGAACCCTGTAATAAGAATTAATTTCTAGGTGAATGATATAGTTAGTGTCTCATGTTGGCTTAGTGTTTAGAATAGCTGTAAGCAATTTGACAGAACCAAATGTATTGCCATTTTTGACATCTTTTGATCCAGATTTTATTTTGCCTTTCAGAGTCTTCAGTTTAAAGGCTGTAAGCTTTTGTTTCCTTTCTGCCTGTCTACTCTGGCATCATGTTGCTTAAAGAGCGAAGCACCACTTTCTCTCACTGTCTCGCCTGCTTCCACAGCTCTCCTCCAGGGCTCTCCTGAGGTCAGGCCTTCCTCTCCTGAGGTCAGGCTGTGCTCTCCTAAGGTCAGGCAGTGTTCTCTCCTGAGTCAGGCCACAGATTTGGATTCTCTAAAAGCTTCTCTTGATGTATTCCCCAGGAACTCCTCTCCTGCTCTCTGTCTCTGAAAATCAGCAAGCTACTGTATTTAGTGACAAGTACCTTGTAGGAAGCTTAATTCTGTTTCTAAATAACTCAACACAAGCCTTGGTTTTTCTTAATAACCACCAAATGATGCTACAAATAATTTTGTAGGCCATAATTATAACTTCTTTATAAAATCTTTATAGAGACAATATCTCTTAGGCCAAGTATTTAAATTAGATATAAAAGACATAGAAGAACATTTTCTGGAGGAAAATATTTAATAGGAAAATTTGATTTTGCTTTAATTTGAGTAATTGGGTGTTTTTTAATGTATACTCTTATATTTTTGTTTTTGGTTTTTAAGTTAAGAAGATGAACTATTCCTAATAAAATGTTCCTTTAAAGGTTATGTAGGTAAAGAAATGCAGAAATATAGTTAAAAGTAGTAAATGTGTTAACTTTAAGAGCTGTTAAAAATTTTTTCTAATATAATGTCAACATGATGGGGAATAGAAAACAAACAGAGCCAGAGCACTGTACTGTTAATGACTTAAATAGCTTGAGAGCATGGAAGGGCAGAGTAAGGATCGAAATGGTTGAGCTAATTTTTATAGAGTCTGTGTCACAAGTTTTTATATTCTTTCCTAAAGAAAATTGGTAGTACTCTATTGTATAAAAATTGCCTGTACACTTAAGATTAATAATGTGATGCTAACTAGCCATTGTGAAGTGATTATTTAGTATAAAACACAGAGCATACTTTGGCCTCACTCACCTTTCACCATGCCCTATATGATACCTGCTCTTGCAAGCATCCCCATCTGACCAGTCAGCAGCTTTGGTGCATGGAGTTTTAGGGATTGCCAAGGTCACACAGGTGGTTAGTAGCAACACTTGTTTATCTCATGCTTTTTTGGCTGTAAGCCATTTTTTCCATATCCATCATACCATCACTGCTTATTATACATGGTATAAAGCCTTGGAAAGATTCGGTCCTTGTTGAATAATCCAGATGGTTCTCACATATGCTCTGACTTGTTTTAATTGTGACTCAAACAAGCAAACATACTATTTTCTGATAAGGAAACAAACCAAGCATTTGGAACTGCCTACCCACAAAAGATGTATTGAGCTTATGTACAGATATGTTAATTATTCTATTAAATGTTTAACTTGAAGAGTTACATCAAAATCACAGAGATAGCTGAAAAAGATTTTCATCTATTATTTATGAATAAAAAAAAAGACTTTAAAAGTACCTCTGGTTTTTGATAAGGGTAGTTCTAAACAGTTGCTAGTTTTCACTCCACTAGGTTTAAATTTATCTTGTCAGCATTTCTTGGTCAGTTTCACGCCTGCTGGTTGCATGGAGAATTTAATTTCCTCTGGCTGGTGAGAAAGCCATTGCCCACTCACCTGATTTAAGAGATGACAGGCTGCCTGGGCTTCTTTACTTTTGGGTAGCAAGGTCAAGATAAGAACAACAGCTATGAACGTGTCCTACAGCACTATATGAGAGTCACATTTGTTTGGTGTGTCCCCAGAGTGCTACATAATTTAAAGAGCCATTTAAATGTTGGGACCCTGTTTCAGTGTTCCTCAGCACTCTCTATCCCTGCCTCTATCATTAAACATTTTCTTTCTTTTTAAAAATATTTTATGTGTATGCCTGCATGTATGTAAGTGTGTCTGTGTTGTGCAGTGCCTGCAGAGGTCAGAAGAGGATGTTGGAGTCCCCTGAAACTAGAGTTACAGATGGTTTTTAGCTGCCATGTGGGTGCTGGGAGCTGAACCTGAGTCCTCTGCAAGAGCAGCAGGTGCTCTTAACCGCTCAGCCCCTTTAAACATTTTCTTTAGCATTCTCCCCAAGTTCTTATTATCTTGCAGAAAAGCTACTTGGTGTTTGAGATTCCTGCGATTTTTTTCATTTGTGAACAGTTTACATATATACTCACTGTAGTGATTTATAGGTGTCATGTTTAGATTTTACCAACAACTACGTTTGTTGACTACTGTTGGCCAAAACAAAGAGCCACAAGCTTGATGGCTTCAACATCAGGCATTTATTGACTCACAGTTATGGAGCTGAAAGCACATGGTCAAGGGGTTGGTAGAGTTGATTCCTCTCAAGGACTGCTGATGGACAGTCTGTTACATTCCTCCTTTAGCTCCTGGTGGGTTTCTGGTGATCTCTAGGTTCCTAAGTTTTAGGTTCATCATGTTGAAGACACTCTGCCTTAATCTTCACACAATGCTATTCCAGAGTGGCTGTATCTGTCTCTGTCCAAAGTTCCTCTTTTGATCAAGACATAGGTCATATGAGATTAAGACCCTCCTTAATGACCTCAGTTTATCCAGACAGCTCGGTAAAGACCCTATCTTTTGTTTTGTTTTGTTTTGTTTTCTGTGTGTGTGTACATACACATGCATGTGTGCATGCATATATGCAAGTGTGTGTATGCCATGGTGTATGTGTTGCAGTCAGAAGACAACTTATGGGAGTTGGTTCTCTTTCTATCATGTAAATCCTGAGGATCAAACTTAGGTCGTCAGACTTGGTGGCAAGCACCTTTACCCACTAAGCCATCTTGTTGGCCCTTGCTAATATTTTTGAAGATTATTCAACTAGTGATGAATGTTTATTATCTTTATAGTTATCCCCCTTAATGCTGTATTAGTTACTTTTCTCATTGCTTATGGCTTGAGGGAATATAGTTCACTATGGCAGAAAAGACATGGTGGTGGGAATGTGAGACAGCTGGTCATACTGTGTCACAGTCAGGAAGCAGAGGGAGATGAATGTTGGTGCGCAGCTAGCCTTCTCCCTTTTTCCTTCATATTTATTCTTGGACCTAAGCCTGTGTGATGGTGCTGCCACATTCAGGATGGGCCTTCTTCAGTTACACCTCTCTGGAAATACCTTTGTAGATAGACTCAGAGGTATGCCTTCTATGTGATTCCAAATCCAGTCAGGCTGACAATGAAAATAAACCATCACCAATGATATAGATGAAAGTACTCAGATATGAATTTTACCCTTGGGGACTGCGAAAGCAAACCAGCAAGGAGGAAGCTTCCAGCTCAGTTCCAGCTTGATTTCTGTATGTTGTGCAACCAAGGCATGTGGTGTCTTCAGCAGTATGGTCTTATCTGGTTCTGGTGCATGACCAGGACAAATGGCAAGAGCCTGTATTGTGTGGCCTCTGAGGCCTCCCTGACCAACACCTCATAAGTTCTTTAAAATTTTCATACGTGTATTTAATGTATTCTGATTATCCTTCCCCAAAACCCTCTCTTACCTTATCTTATTTCCCTCCCATCCATGTCATACCCATCTCCTTCTTACCAGTCTACCTCCCAGATCATGCCTTTTGTCTTTGTTTTGTGATTCATTTATTTTAGTCAGGACCATCTGTGTGACCATTGGATTAGAGCTATCCATTGAAGCCTGGTGGAGTCACCAGCAGGTACATAGCTAAAGGCATGTCCCTGAATCTGTGCGTAGCAAATAGTTCAGCTGTGCTGAGTAGGCCCCCTGGAGTCTCTCTTCCATCCATGCCTGACTGTTGACAGGCTGATTCTTGTGCAGATTCAGCACAAGCATCCATAGTTGCTGTGAGTTTATGATTTCAGTGGTTCTTTCCCAGTAGGTGACATTTTGTAGTTCTTCTCCCTGTCTTCCTGCTCTTACATTCTTTCTACCTCTCTCTCCCTCAGTGCTCCCTGGCCTTGGAGTGGATGGTGTAAATGTCTTGTTTAGGGCTGAGCACTCAACAGTGACTTATTCTCAGCAGCTTGTACAACCATGGGTCTCTGTGTTCACTGCTGCTCCCTGGAAAGAGAGACCTCTCTGATTAAGGCTGAGAGTAGAGTTTGTCTATGTGTATAAACAAATGTTTAGAAGGCAGTTTGTACTGTGCTAGTTTAGTTGAACAACAGTATTAAGTTCCCTAACTAGGGTCTATGACCTCTCCAGCCATGTGGTTTTGACTGAGTTTACAGTACCAGGTATGGGCTCACTTCTGTGGAGCAGGTCTCAAAGCTAATGGAAGCTGTTGGTTATTCCTATAACTGTCATGTCACTATTACATGAGTTGCAAGTCTTGCCTGGCAGGTTGATATTGTAGCATAGGATGCACAGCTTGGTAAGACCCTTGATGCCTCTTCTCCCTCAGTAGCCTGCATAATACCTGCTAGGACTATGAAAGCTATTCAGAAGGGAGGAAGCTTGCAGCTCAGTTCCAATTTGATTTCTCTGTATTGTGCGATCAAGGCATGTGGTGTCTTCAGCAGTAGGGTCTTATCATCTTGTTCTGGTGCATGACCAGGAGAAATGGCAAGAGCC